TGGATATAGTCGGAATGGAATGAAATGATACATATTTGTACTCGTTTAACAGCATCTGAATTATTAATCACAAAACTGGCTCCATTTCGGCGATATCTTATTCATTATTTGCTTCCAAGGCTTTCGGTTTTGCGGTTTGTAGCGGTCGACCCGAGACTTCAAGAATCCCCAAAGAAAGTTGGCGCCGTCAGGTCTGGTGATCTGACCTGCCGATTCAAAACACAAAAACAAAAAACTAACCTACAATTGTTTCACAATACAACACTGGAAAAGTCGTAACGCATTTCACTTTCCTTGAGAGACTTTTACAACGGATTTTAGTATTCAATCGCATACACGGAAGAGTTTCACCAAGCAGGAGCATTGACAGTCTACAATATCAGTTCTATGTATATCTACAATTTAGTTGCCAAATTACGATTCAATACGTGGTCATTTGAAAAATCTATGGCACATTCACATTATGACATTACTTTTATTACTTTTAGTGGGTACAAATCATGCTCAACATTCAACTTTTATTTCCCCATTTTCCTTGAATTCGTATGTATTCGTCAAACGCTATGGGCCGGTAACGTAGGGGTCTTCCGTCATCTTTCATCGTACGGGATGATGAAGATCAACTTGGCAAACCATTGGTAGATCAAGATCGTTAGATTTTTCGCCAACTTAGTCACAGTATTTTGAGTTTTTCAAACAATTATACCCACTTGTTTGCTTTCCGTTCATCTGTCTTCAGGACTACTAGGCGTATACCGCAGTGATGAGTTGCTAATGAGCACAAAACACAGCTGATTGCGGGTGGTCGTGGTTACAGAGACGGAAAGCAGACATGTCCATTTCAATTATTATGTATGTATTACCTCATCGGACAAAACGGCGAAAACATACAAACCGAATCACCTGCAATCAAAGTGTGGGCATTACCGTGATGACGTGCAAATTTTATACGATATCCCGAGGGGGCAGTGGTTACATCATAACAAAAAGTGCACGTGCACGTTTCATTTTAAGGGACACATACATCATTTATATTCAGCTGAATGGGAATTATAACTGATGTGTCTGACAGCTAGCTAGCTGTGTTTTCAGCCAGTCCGGCTAGTGAATAAAGTTTACAACAACAGAAACGCCCCTTCCTCTAGAGGGTAGAAGTTTTAATTAACCGCTGGACTGTGGTTATATCGGAAGTCGTCTGGGTGTCTACTTGTATATCTCCTCCGAACGCATCGGGATTGTAATAATTTATTGTCGTTGTTGTTGTTATTCGTCCTATCTGCAGTTGACTCTCATTAGAAATTTTACTTGTTTGGATATGTCAGGGAAGTTCTTAATTGATTTGGGAGCAAGGGTCAACAGAATGGAATGACCGTTGTTTGATACCTTTCTGTAAATTATATAATGTTTCCATGGCATCTGCGGGGCATATTATCTTGAAAATTCAGGGACAGTTTGAACACGTAAAAATATGAAAAAATTACATATTGGCAAATTCTTCTTTCTTTACGGGTTGGTGAAAATATACTAAGTGACATATAAATCCGAACACCCAGTTTAAAAGGTTTTATTTTAATAAGATTTTGTATAAGTACTTAATGAAGCATAATAAGTAAATGATAAAAATTTCAAAATGATTGCACTGCTTTAAAGCCCTTTGACCTTTAATAATGTGTGGAAGCACCCTAATGTGCTACGCATTCTCCAACACGCCTAGGCATGCTTCTGATCAGGTGGTCAATGTCCTCCTGTGGTATCTCATTTCAGGCAACCACCAACTCCTCTCGAAGTTCTTCTAGAGTCTGAGGAGGACGTTGCAAATTGAGCAATCTCCTACCCATCATATCCCACACGTGCTCAATTGGAGATAAGTCGGGATATCTTGGTGGCCATGGTAACAATGTGACATCATTATGTTGAAAGAAGTCTATTGTGACTCTTGCAACATGTGGTCGGGCATTATCTTGTTGGAAAGTTTGGATCTGCCAGGGTGTCAAGATAGGGTAAAAGATGGGGTTCTAGAACTTCGTGGATATAACTTTTATTAATCTAACTAATCTAGCATTTAGTTTTCTAGGCCCACCACTTCTCTTAGAGGCTTCCAACATACCTTTGTGTTTATTTTTGTTCAATATTGCCCAAACTTCTTTACGCTTCTGCTTCAAATTTTTGGCCATGTCGATTTGACGTTTACCATCTTTGTATAGCTCAATGATCTTAGTTTTCACATCGAAAGAAATTTCTGGACCACGCGGCATGGTCTTAAAATCACTCAACTTATTCCACAATACTTGATGAACACAAGCTAATCCTCTTCTGACACGAAACTGTACTAAACTCATGTTGAAAAGAATTTGTCTACATATTTTTGTCCCTCATAAAAGGGTGCTTATATTCAGACTTGTATTGTGTTCAATGCAGATAATGTAAAAACAAGGAATTTAGTTTTTCTACTAATAACGCATCTGTTTATGGAACAATGATGTCTGAATTCGTTTTCTAATGGTATTTAGGTAAATATTTATATTTGTCTATATACTTTTGTCCATTACTGTATGTTCCTTCAAAAATTACAGCTCTATTACTAACGTTTATTATCGATAAAGAAATTGATGTAGTTTTTAACGAAACCTTATTAAAGCGGTGCATCTCAACAAAAAAGTCCCGGAGGGGTTTAAAATCGCCATAGCTATTTTAACTGAATTATTTCTTATAGGTGGATATTATCGTGCTGATATCCTCCATTTTACTTCTCACAAATTTGGGCTATTCTCACATCGTTTGCCAATACTCTTGTCAGAGTTTCTGATGTCAACATCTTTCTTACGTCCCTAATATTCTCCTTTAATTGGCCTGCTGCTTATTGGCACATCGCCATACCTTTATATACTTCCCCTTAATGTCATCCAGAGCAGTCATCAAAGATTTATCGCGCAATATCCATGTGCCTTCATCTTGTTGCAAAAAACGTCGCTGGATTAGTAGAAAAATCATAAAAATCATAAGTCTGTCGCAGTATTTGTCTCAATAATTTCTGCGGGTTGAGGTATAAAGAGCCTTCCTAACACCACTGATTAACGTAATCTAGCTGAAGATAGACAACCAGATACTGAATTCCGGCGTCCAAAAATAATAACATCTATTTACTCCTGTAACACAATACAAAGAATGAGTTAAATGCATCAAGGTATGCCATAAGATATAGAGATGTTTTTCTTTTGAAATTTTTTTGATATATTTAATTTTATACAATAAGTCATCTAACTTTTTGTAAAATATATGAAATATAAACATCCTAACGCAAGAGTGGATCCAGGAATATTCCAAGATATTTTATATCTGATTCTCAGTTAACTTAGAATTTTTGATTATTTACGATAAATGAGATATTTGTGTAATTTGGTAGACGTCAAGAATAGGAAGAAAATTGTGTTTTAGAGTAATAAATGCTCAATTTTCTGTTATGGATAATTTTGACAAAATCATTTTGGACTAAACTTTTCAAATTAAATTCAGTGGATCTAAAAGATACTAGCGCTATCTGTAAGACAGGAACAGAACACCAAATAAATTTAGACAATTACTTTGGAAACGGTTAGCCTGTCTGGTGCTGCTCCTTTTTGGCCTCTTTAAGATTATTGGGTATCTTCAGGCATCGGTTAACGTATCACACCTGAAGATTAAAATGAGCTGTAGAGAGGCGAAAAGGGATTGAAGACCTTAGTGTCATCTACGATACAGCAACAGAACGAAATATTCTAACTCTTTTCAAAGTAGCATATCTGTCTTAAAAACGGCGCTAGTATCCCTCAAGTCCCATTTTGGACGCCGAAATACAGTGTATGGTTGACTATATTCAGGTAGAATACGTAAGAGCAGGTTTGCATCAATTCTGATAGAACATGGTCTTCCGTTACGGATAAAATGCGACAAATTGTTGCGTCTGGTGGAGGACATGCCTGTTGTGTTGGATTTATTGAATTTTGGTTTCCCAAATATAATCCGATGATTACAGGTCTCTATCTAATACTGCACTTCTCCATAACTAACCTTTCAAGTGTCATTTAAATACACTAGAAAAGATTGACGTGCAGTTTTTTTACGATAAACTGATGTTCCTTCTAAATTTTTTACATGCTACTGTCACTCTCGATAATAGCAAAAATAATGTTAATGTCTCAATCTATTTTCGAGAAATATAAAGTCAAGCATTAGAGAATAACAAGTTCCGATCCCTATATTATGAAAACGAAAAAATTTCAGATCTATGTTTATAAGAACTTTTTTTTATTTTCACCGGACTGCCTCAAAAAGTTCTTCACGGCTACAGGTAAAACGTATTGATGGATTTTAACCTAAGACTTGTCTCGGCAGTGCAGGAGACACACACACACACACACCCTCCTACCCTGTGCGGTCCCTCCACCACCCCTGTTCCAGGCAACCTCAAACCCTTGAGGAGTGGGGGAAAGAGCAATCTGCTCCTCCCTCCTCTCCCGCCCGAAGGCCTGGCGTGGCGCTGCATGGTTCAGGCTGCTGCGCATTCCCCGAGTGTGTGCTGCCGAGCGAGCTACCCCCCTCCCCAATTTTGCCCTTTTTCCCGAAATTTGATTCGATCGCGCACGCGTCGCGGAAGCACGTGGTGGACGTTTCATCCAACTGTCGGTTCTCGACTTTTATGGACGGCCTCTTTCTTGAGGGTCCTGCGCTGGGGGCTTTGACCTAAGCCCCGCATTAAGGTTCGTGAGCCTTCGCTCTTTCCTCGTCGACTGGAGTCAGTCAGTCAGTCATTTGCTGTTTGTCTTCGTCTCCTGAGGTTAGCCCCGAGTCCGTGCTTGACTCTGGCCACCTCAATCGACAGGCTTCTTTTTGTCCACCCGTTGTACACGGGCTGTTCTTTCCCCTCTTGGGTGTACAACTATTGTCGGTCTTCTCCCCTTTTCATTGGCCTTATCAGCTGCTAGGACCAAATTTCTTCTTGTTGCAGCTGGCTTTTCGATCTTTCATGACGTTCTTGGCTCGTAATCCAAGGCGTCTTTAATCAGCACATTTCGATGTCTTTGGTTCTTTTCAAACAACTTTTGGGCCATCTCTCTCATCTGGATTACGACCGGTACCTGTCGTAGTTCGTCATATCTGTTAGGTACATACCAAGGTGCGTCCACCGCCTCACGGAGTGCTATGTTTTGTTGAGCTTGGAGCCTCTTCTTCATCGTTTTGGAAACGTAGCCCCAAGCTACTGCTGCGTAAGTCATGATTTGGAGCAGCACCATCTGAATCATGATGGTCTTATTCTTTAAGGACACTTTGCTTCTTAAAGGTCTTAGTTTGGACCGTGCCATCTTCACTTTCTGCACCTGGCCCTCGACATGGTTCTTCCACGAAAGTTTTTGGTCCATCTTGACTCCAAGGTATGTGCTGGAGTCCTTCCAATCGACCTCGACTTCTTCGTCTCTTCTCCAGCCTCTCTCCATTCTGGTGGTCGTCATCTCTATTTTGGTTTGAGGTAATCTTCGATTTCTTCGGAACAGTACCGCTTCGGTCTTCTCAGGGTTGAGCCGGATCTTCCACTTGATGCACCATTCCTCTAGGTTGGTAGTCGCTCGTTGCAGATATTCCGTAACCATGCGGGGTCTCGTACTTTCTGCCGCATATGCTGTATCGTCCGCATACACATACAGTTGCGTTTGTGGAGTCCTCGGGATGTCTGAACTGTAGATTGCATACAGCAGGGGAGACACTAAAATTTTATAAAAACAAAATGGCGGATTTTAATCGAGAATTTCAACTTTGAGATTCCTATTCCTATTAACATACGATGTGTCTCTAGAGTTGTCTTGGAAGTACGAGTGACATCTGGTATACTAAAAATTTATAAAGATACAAATAAACGCAAACTTCAACTTTCAAATCTTTATTTTACGGGCAACATTCTAAACGGCTTGATCGATATTGTCAGTATTTAAGGTGTTATTAGATTCGTCTTGATACCACAATTAAATGTTTATTTTTTTTTTACTGACTGCAGCTGGGTTGCGTTGTATTTTTACTTCCCACGCCTACTTGGAGGAAGTATTCTAATCGCGACATTGAAATATGTATGTAAAATCGCTTAAACTCTTGATCACTTCACTCTTCGTAGGTGACCCCATACATTCACCCTTTCAACCTAGAAATGTCTCCAATAGTCGCGTGTGCCTGCGACGAGGTCTCCCGATGGACGAGCGTCGTACGTCATAGTCGACAATCGCTACCGGACTGCTGTGTGCAGTGCGCATAGTGAAGGCCAATATCGACATTCAGCGGGTTTGGTCATCGCAAAGATGATGCGGGCCTGCAGGAATTTCTCTCAGGAGGAGGAGGAAGGTCAACATACTAATTTACGAACTGATTACAGCGTTGCGTCAACTTACTTGACGCCATTTTTTGTCTTTATTGGGGTTGTAGGTTTGGCGTCATTCCCCGCACTATCTCCGTTATCCCTTAATATTGTTGGGTTATTAAATGTAGCTGTAACACCGTATATTAGTCATTGCGGTTTTCCAGCTAAACTCAACAAATTAATCTTCCAGCGTACATCAGTCGTTCAGCTCTTCACTATGGCGATACCAATCAGACCCGTGGACTATACTTATTACAACAACACAGCCTTTACGCCTGTAAAACATCGTTCTACGCTACTCTCCATTAGTTGTTAGATGAGTTCCAGCTATACAGGGTGTTTCAGTTTATTGTTGCATAACTTTAAGATTCGATAGAACTTTTAAAATTAATGCATAAAGTCTATATAAACATGGGTCGAAAAATGCGTGGCTTCCGAAATACAGGGTGTTTGAATTTAATTTCTAAAATTGTTTTTTTTAAATATTTCGAACAATATTTGATGTATAACAGTGAAAATTGATATACAAGGGTTTTTCGGTACGACAAAACGAACCATGGGCATAGTTTTACTGTATCCGCTAGAGGGCGCTCTCTACTGTACCTGTAGTGTATTAGAATGACCGAAAATTTTTCTTAGTGCAATTTTTTGCATTTTGAATAAAAAAACTGATTCTACGCACTTTTCAACATAAAAAAGCTATCTTGTGAGTTTTCGTTATAGTTAGCCGTTTTTGAGATATTTCGATTTTAAAGGTTCGATGCATTTTTAATTACATATTTGTGGGAAAATAATATTTTTTTTACATTTTCGATTTGGGCATTACAAGTAATTAAGATGATCGTTTAGATTGTGTTTTTAAACACAGCAATAATTCCTAACTCCAAATAAACACAAAAAAACAGAATATTAATTTGTTTAATTTTCCAATATTATTTTTAACAAATTAAATTAATTATTTACAACTAAAATGCTATTGGATAGTTAGGACAAACATACAAAATTAAGTAGTTGCTCGAAATGTAAACCCAATTGTTCAATACACAATTCATATCTACGAATGATCGAACGTGGTGTAGCATTATTCAAATAAGGCCTTATTTCATCACATGCATTCCTGATTCTGTCTATTAGCATATCTCTTGTGGTTACGGGAGTCTGGTACACTTTTTCTTTTAGAAATCCCCACACAAAGAAATCTAATGGATTTAGGTCAGGGGCTCGTGGAGGCCAGGCGACTGGTCCTCCACGACCGATCCATCTTTCTGGATAATTTTCGTCCAGCCAGTTTCTAAATATTCTCGAATAATGAGCTGGACAACCATCAAGCTAGAACCAGGCCAATCTTCTTAAATCTAACATAATATCATCCCAAATATTTGCATGCTCAGCCTTTAAAAATTCCAAGAAAGTCGCAGCATTTCACCTTGCAGGCAAAAGGTAGGGTCCAAATAGTCGATTACGGTAGATACCAATCCACACGTTCACACTAAATTCAAATTTCTTTCCCGAACTGCATGCGGATTTTCATGCGACCAAATATGTTGGTTATGAAAATTTACCACTCCACGTCTAGTGAAGCATGACTCATCGGTCCATAAAACGTTATTTAAAAACTCCCTATTATTATCAGTTCTATCAAGAATCCACTGACAAAATGTGATTATTCGTTCTCCGTCCCCTGGCTGTAGTCCTTGCACAGGTTGGTAAGGACGTCTATGGTCATTTCTAAGAACACGGTGAACATGGCTTGCTGAAATTCCCAAGGCACAAGAAACTCTCCTAACACTTGTGGTCGGATCTCTATCAAACTCACGAAGAATCATACGGGTAAATCTGCGCTGACGAACATTTATGTTTTGATCCCTTTGGAGATTTCCAAAACCATTTTCAATTATTTGGCGATGCACTCTTACAAATACTGAGCGAGTTGGATGTCGTCTGTTTGGAAATCTTCGTGCGTATTCTCTGGCTGCTTCTGCTGCGTTTCCATTTACAAAGCCATACACAAAATGAATATCCGCTAACTCTTGATTGGGGAATAAAAATGGCATTCTTATAAAACTTACAAAAAAAAAACAGGTAAAAGAAACTAAATTTCGTGCATTCACAATTGCAAAAAAACGTTTCAGGTTTCAAAAGGCAACAAAACTAACTGTCAACTAATTGACGTTTAACCTTATTCTGCTTTCAATTTTAAAAATATTTGCAGGCACAGCCTACTTCCAAAAATTATCGAGATACTGACTTTTTAACGTTATTTTATCATAAATAATTAAAAATGCATCGATCCTTAAAATCGAAATATCTCAAAAACGGCTAACTATAACGAAAACTCACAGGAGAGCTTTTTTATGTTGAAAAGTGCGAAGAATCAGTTTTTTTATTCAAAAAGCAACAAATTGCACTGAGAAAAATTTTTCGGTCATTTTAATACACTACAGGTACAGTAGAGAGCGCCCTCTAGCGGCTACAGTAAAACTATGCCCATGGTTCGTTTTGTCGTACCAAAAAAACCCTTGTATACCAATTTTCACTGTTATACATCAAATTTTTCGACCTTTGTTTATATAGACTTTATGCATTAATTTTAAAAGTTCTTCCGAATCTTAAAGCTATGCAACAATAAACTGAAACACCCTGTATACACGACCTTATTCACCCTGCATCTAAATCATCCCGGCCCAAATGTCTTTTCTCTTGTAAAGTTCTAGTCAGAAGTAAATTTTCATTAGGTCTACAACAAACTTCTCCCCATCTAAGACAGGCGGCGAAAATCGAAACTAACTCTGAACAAGGTCATATATCTTGTAGCCACGTCTTAACATACAGCATCCCCTAGTGAAGCAGGAAAGCACGAATCTTTAAATCCCCCTTCTCTAAGGCCCGCATCTCATTTCGCTCCCAGACGACCTTACGGACACTCACCTCGTCTGCATCAGTCTTAAGGGAATATACACAGAGAGAAATTGAACGCAGGACTATAAATATCCAGATTCTGAAGCGAATGTCATGCGACCATTATTCACTGTGTCCATATATCAGTAAGTATTGATGATATCTTCAGCGTCATTGAATTTCTAGGTAACGTTTTACATGAATAATTACTGACGACCAGGCTACTCGTTCAATAAATATCACACTCTAGGGTAAACATTGACGGATCACAGTCTATACCGATCATGACATTCGCCTTAAAGCTCCCTTACATTGTCAATAAGCAAATTTTTCATTCATTTGAATAATGATATACCACGTTCGATCATTCGTAGATGTGAATTGTGTATTGAGCAATTGGGTTTACATTTCGAGCAACTACTGTAGATTTTGTATGTTTGTCCTAACTATCTAATAGCATTTTAGTTGTAAATAATTAATTTAATTTGTTAAAAATAATATTGGAAAATTAAACAAATTAATATTCTGTTTTTTTTTGTGTTTATTTGGAGTTAGGAATTATTACTGTGTTTAAAAACACAATCTAAACGATCATTTTAATTACTTGTAATGCCCAAATCGAAAATGTAAAAAAATATTATTTTCCCATAAATAATTAAAAATGGATCGAACCTTAAAAATCGAAATATCTCAAAAACGGCTAACTATAACGAAAATTCACGAGAGAGCTTTTTTATGTTGAAAAGTGCGAAGAATCAGTTTTTTTATTCAAAAAGCAAAAAATTGCACTAAGAAAAAGTTTTCGGTCATTTTAATACACTACAGGTACAGTAGAGAGCGCCCTCTAACGGCTAGAGTAAAACTATGCTCATGGCTCGTTTTGTCGTACCAAAAAACCCTTGTATACCTACCAATTTTCACTGTTATACATCA